TTTTTATTTCCCCATAGAATTTGTGGATGCGACCCGTGCATCTGGGGCAGATCACTACAACACGCCTGCCAGCTTTCCTGGCACTGCTCTTTGCTTCCTACTCGTGCATTCCATTCCCTTTTGGAACAGCCAGGGCTGTCCTTGCAGGCAAGGAGTGTCCCATGGCACCCCAGACAGGTGATCTTGCTATATCCCCCGTCCCACATCACCTGTGAGCTAAACAGCAACCAATTTCTTCACTTTAAAAAGGTGAACTCAGTCAGGGAGCCACACCAGGAGGTACAGTATGGGCACCTGCAAGTGCACGGTCCCAGTCAGTAAGGGAGCCCATCATCTGGAGTCTGGTTTGCTTGACAAAGCTGTACTCCAGCTGCTGCTGCCAAGATCTGAAGCCCGGACATAGCGCCCTCTGCCGAAGTGGCGGTTAAGAGCAGCACCCTTGACCGAACCTACCTTGCAGGGTTGTTGTGAGGATAAAATGGAGAGGAGGAACCTGTATCCCGCTTTAGTTTCCTTGCAGGAAAAAGGGTGGGATGTCAATATATTTAAATAAATAACTGGGGGAAAATGAAGGTCTGGGGCAAGCAAGGCACAGCAGCTGCTGGCGCTGCCCTCAAAATGACACCAAAAGTAACTAGTAAGGTGAAGCAGGGTGAGGTGTACTTCTTTGCCCCATGAACAGATGTGCTTTCACCACTCTTTAGGGCTCTGAACAGATCCCATGCATAGTGGGTAGGCAATTAGTCGAAAAGTGCCTGAAATAAGGCCGATGGCTTTATCCCCCACAGCCGGCCTGTCCTGGAAAGGAAAGGAAAGGAAAGGAAAGGAAAGGAAAGGAAAGGAAAGGAAAGGAAGTCTTTTGGGAAGGGCATCTTTCCAGAGCTGTTCTCTGTCACCTGTGAGCAGACCAGGAGGTGGGATGGGAGGCCCAGACAGTGAAACTGCAGGCTGCCGGTTATTCCCCTTAAGGGCTCTGTCCTATTAGCCAGTCCAATCAGATTAGCAGCCTCTCTGCTTGGTATGTCTCATTTCATTTCAGGTTAGCATGCATGAGCAGCGTTACTGTTGAGGAGTGACTTTCATTGCGCATCAGCCAACCTGAATGCTAATGCGGATAGATGGGGAGGAGTGGATGTCAGGCTGCATTCGTGCTGTTCAGGCCACCCTTCACTCGGGTTGGACGGGCCACGAGGGAGGAGCAATTGGCCATGTTTCACTGCGCATTTGCCCGAATGTGAAAGATGGTCGTGGGGAATCAGTGGTAAGATCTTCTGCCCCACACTCCGCTAGGGGTTTCTTCTGTAAGAAAATGTGTGTTTGAGAGAGAAAGAGAGAACTTGCTTCCAGGACACTAAGAGGAAGTATTTCGCTTCCACTTTTCCTCATTGACTGCACTCACTTTGTCCATGCTTGGCTATCTGTTCTAAAACCCTGGAGTATTGCAAAACTCCTGTGGCATGTTCAAGGGACAAAGGCTGTCACAAAGAGGAAGGTCAGGATCTCTCCTTGCTGATGCCAGAGCGTAGGACACAGAATAATCAGTTCAAGTTGCGACAACCCAGATCCAGGTTGGACATCAGGAACAGCTTCCTCACTGTCAGAGCAATACAGCAGTGGGACCAGCTGACTAGAGGGGTGGTGGGCTCTCCCACACTGGAGACTTTCAAAAATAATCTGGACTGCCACCTGAGTGGGATGGTGTAACGTGGTGTCCTGCAACAGCAGGGGGTGGGACTCGATGGCCTTCATAGCCCCTTCCAACTGTACTATTCTATGATTCTATGTCAGGGCTGGTGCTACCGTTAGTTTGAGAGGAGCCATTGCCTCAGGTGGCCGATCCTGGGAAACCACAACAAGGTGTTGAAGGAAAGACCTTTCTGCCATACAACCTGTTGTGGGCTGACTAAGTAAGCCAACTGCCTTCACATGGAAGTTGTCCCACCTCCAGTGTTGAAGAAAGACTGGACTGGGAGTCCACTTTGCTTTTGAGCATGGAATGAGAAGAGGCACCATCTTGTCCTTTGCCTCAGGCAGCAACATCTTCAGCTGGTCCTGCTCCATGACAATCCATCACAAGATCGCACCTGGTCTCTTCCACTACACTGCAAGGGGGATATCATGGATGGTTTAGTTGTGTTTTGGAAAGCTTGACTACCATTTTACTCTTCCCTTAAGAAACTCTTCCCCAGAACAGTTTGAAAGCTACAGAGCCAGCGGCTATCTGCTAATCTGAACAAGGATGTTTCAGCAATGCTTGCAAGATGCAGTTCTGTCCTCAAATGTCTATGTAGGTTTCTGAATAACTGCATGAGTATGCAAAGGGCAAACGAAATGATCCTGCACAAACATGGTTCATATCGCTAGACCAATTAAGTTCCATCACTGAGATAGCCTATAAAGATTCCATGTTTAGTTTAGATGCTGAATCATTCTTGCTATCCAAAGATACTTTCGAGGGATCTGTTGACTCCTGCAATGTCTTCAAATAAAGCCCTCTAATGGGTAATCATTAAATCAAGCATACTGCTTATATCAGCACACTTATACAATTATTTTATCCAATTAAGTTTTAGGAGTGACCATGGGGTTCCTCTTCCCCATCCAATTAGATATCATGGTGGGCAGTCTTTCAGGATGGCAGTGACTCCCACTTTGGTAATGAAAAGAATTGTCCAATTTATTGGCATTAATCAGAGGTACAGGCCATTATGTTATTGTAGCTGGTGACTCATTAAAATTTGAGCATTGAACTCTTGTATCATCTTCCTATTTGTTCTGCTAGAATAAATAGCATGTTTTTGTCCACAGGTTTCTTTAGGGTGAAAGTGCCCTTCGCAGAGTTTCAGCTGTCTTCATAGCATGGAAATTCATTACACAAAGAATGGAGGAAGGAAGGACAAAAATGGGTAGTATATTTTCTCAAAGAAGCACCACTTGCAGAATAACACTTTAGATTACTTTTAACTTTAATATCCTTGAAACCAGTATTCATAATCTAGAAACGCCTCCACAAGGATATGAATGTAAGGCTGTACAAATGGGTTTCTAAAGCCTGGAGATCAGAAGGAACTTTCCTCCTTGGAGCCTGGGGGGAAAGGAACTATGCTAGGCCCAGGGCTGGTGTAGTTCTCCCCTCTTCCAGGAGCATGTTGGGGTCCTGAGAAGGTGTCAAATCCTTCTCTAGAACCTCTCATGAAAACTCCCCCAAACCTCTTCAGATGTTTCTTTCTTCTGCTTTCTGATGTCAGAATTCTGTAGAACTTTCCACACCTTCACAAATGAGGCCTAATCTCCTCTCCATTTGAAGGGTTCTTCTCAAAGCAAACAGTGAGCTTACTGAAAGGGGCCCAAATCCTCACAGTAAGATCAGAGATATTTCTCAGGAGTACCAGTAGGGGCTTATATCCTTCCATTTCAGCCAAATTTCACCATGTATTGCCTAAAACATCAACAGGTACTTCAAGAAAGTGAATTGTGGAGTAGACTGCTTAGCCCAGCCCAAATCAAGATCACTTCTAAAATGGTCGACTTTTAAAGCCCATTTATCAAATTTACAGTTTAAGTATGGGCAAAGGTTCCACCTTCCTCAATGTATTCTGTGATCGTCAGCAGCATTTGTTTACTTAAACGAGAATGAAGCACCAATTAAAAGATCTGAGAAATAAAGCAGAATAATCTGGTACTGGAGTGCAATGACTACTTTTTTCCTGCCTGCTGGTTCCTGCCAACATGCAATGAGCTACATACAGCATGTACATGCATGTAATGTAATGGATGGGTGCTGATTTGGGGGAGGGCTTGTCCCTCCACCTTCAATCCAGTATCCCTTCTGTCTTTGTATGAGTACTTAGAAGCATATTGCCTCTAAAAACATTTATGAACTGAAAATGGACAGGGCCCACAGAAAAAGCAAAGGCAAGCAAAACCTGTTCCCAATTGCTGCACAGTGTAATATTGCTTTACTGGATGGTAGTCTCAGAGTGTATGGCATTCACTGCTGAAATTGTTTCTGGAAGCTGAGTAGAAAAACACCAAAGAATCAGCTGGGTTGACATAGTTGATCGAATGTTCTTCCAGACAACTCTTCTCTCTCTTGTCTTTTTCCACCAAAGTCCAATTGTTGTTATATGCTGTCATCTCCAATGTATGGTGACCCTGTGAGTGAAAGCCCTCCAAAACACCCTATGCATAACAGCTCTACTGAGCTGTTCTAAATTCAAGGCCATATCTTCCTTAATGCAGTCGATCCATCTCATATCTGGTTTCTTCTTCTGCCTTTGACTTTCTCTAGCATGATTGTCTTCCATAGGGAGTTTTGCCTTCTCATAATGTGCCTGAAGTATGACAGACCAAGTTTTGTCATTTTTGCTCCTAAGGAAAGCCCTGACTTGACTTGATCTAGGGCCCACATGTTTGTCTTTTTGTCGTTCCGGGGTATTCACAAAGCTCTCCTCCAGCAGCGTGTTTCAAGTGCATCCACTGAAGTCAAATTTCCTAAGAGGACTCTTGAAGCAGTTCACAAAGAAGTCATGGACTCCTCTCTAGCAACCATGCTTCCTTGCTCCCTTTATATCTATGCAGTGGCACCTCTCTCTCTCTCTCCATTCAAGTCTTATCTCAAAAACCCATTCTTTGATGCTAATCTAGTCTTTTTTCCCCTCACTGTGATTTTATGACATCTGTATGGGTTACACAAGAGTGTACCAAAAAGTTTCAAGACCCTCAGTTACCATGAATGCTGAAGAAAACACAGCCTGCTGGGCAATGACATGTTCCTAAAATTCCTTACTTAAAGAGAGGAACTGGTTCACCTCTTACGTGTAGCCATAGCTGCAGAGTTCACATCTCCGAATAATGTGTATTGTCACATGAGTTTCGAGCATGGATCTCTTGTACCTTAGATACCTTCTCCTGGAACACTTGGGTTGGCCGAAGGGCAATCTATTCTTGATTATTTTTAACTACACACTCACCATATGATAGAAAAATAAGCAGAGATAGCACATACAAAAACATTTTTATTAGTTGTTAGTATATTTTGTTTCTTAATGCAATGCTCAAACTAGGAATACAACTTGGCAGAAGTACATACATATATATTGCATGTAGGGTGGGTTGTTTTTTTTTTTAAGTTGTGTCTGCAAAATATGTTCTCTTCGGATCTGTCCTCGTAAGGTCTTCTAGGTTAGAGCCACAGCCTCTCAATGGGTCACAGCTCCCCATGGCTGGTAGCCATGCCCCTATGATGCACCTGCTCAGTGCCCTGGTCTGTTTTCTTCACCTTTGATGGGTGACATTATGTGCAAATTCTCAAAGGTATCTCTTTCTACAATGCTTCATTTTCTCCCTTGGAATACCATGTAAATAGTATGTATATCTATACAGATTATATAAATATATATCTATAATATGTATATATGTATATCACTGTGGTTTGGCTTTAGGAAGTCAACCATAAAATTTGTGCTTATCTTATTTCTATGAGATCAAATGTACGGCATTATCAAGAATGCAGCCAGTACCTGGAAGTCTTGTTAACAATTATTTTCATTCAGTTAATGATCTTGCTTCACATAAGTGTCCACACCTCTTTTACGAGCAATGCACTCTCTCTCATTCAGACAGTAACTTTTAAGACAAGATTTCTGGCCTTTGTATAAAGGATCAACAGATTAAAACAAAAACAAAAACCCAAACAATATCAGGAAGGGTTGTTCCCTTCCACACACACAGTTTGAACAGTAATCAGACATTCATTGTAGCTTTATTTACATTGTAACTCATGTTCAACAATATTACAGGTATTGTACTATATCTGTACATAGCCAAGTTATGGTTTGGTCATGTTGAAACACACTACCAGTTGGTATTTACAGATGGATTAATTAGCCTCCAGCTCAACACTGTCCGCTGTAATATGGCACCAGCAGTTAAGGGATAAATTGTTGCAAGTCCACTTATTAGCAACCCTTGGTGGACGCTCATTATTTTTCCTATGCAGTACAGTACAAGATGGGTATCTTTGGAGGTACCACTGACATGGAACCATCTGTGACATCCAAATATCCTGTATCCTCCCAGAAGATGTGATGGGAGGACAGAATCAATGTGCCATCATTCTGTAGTCAGTCCCTTTGGTTGGGTTCAGAGAAAAAGTGGGATTCCCCATTTCTCATCATTATGTTTCCATTAACGAAACATTAGTTGGTCAAGTAATGAATGCCCCAAGCACATGATAAAGTGTATTTGGACTTTGAATTTTCTACATTTAAGGTTTCATACTCCATATAACATCTCCAAATCTCTCTTTTCCATTGAGGAAGGTGAGCACCTGCATTAATATTGCTGGCTAAGGAGAAAAAGACATCAGTGTGTGCCCACTCTCAACACCATAAAAAAATAGTTCTTTCTATAACCAACAGTGGAAAATGCATGTATTCATTCACCTTGTGAATGATTACGCAATATTCTCAATAGCATGATTGCAGCCAGGGAGCTGAATTACATTGATGGCAAGCCATATGGTTGGTTTTTCAAATGAAAGGACAACTGTGTAATTTGGAAGACCATCTACATGGTTCAGAAGGCTACTCACATGGTCCGAGGCAGCCATAACCACAGCAGAGAAGCCCTTTATTATGGGGGTATCCCTTCATACAGCCAGCAAAGTACAACCCCAAGTACAGCAAGCTATCGAAATATTTTAGCTTCCTAACACCCGCTACATCACTGGGATGACATATGCAATGAGCCATAGTACTAATGACTTTAGTGAGATTCAACCGGCTGAGATACAATAGGTCATTTTATATAAACTATAATTCCTATAGCAATTTTAGGTGGACGCAAGGGGTTAGGCAAGTCTTTTAAAAAGTGCTCTGCTTCTTCCAGGTTGTAACACAAATTTCATTAGAGCCTGTGTGTTCACAACAGTCCTCCCTGGACCCAGGTAGGCACTGGACAGTCAGGTTGTCTAAATTCCACTTCAGATGGAAACTGCTTTTCTGGAGGACCACTCTACAGGTCTGCTGGATCATGGAGAGTTCCTCCAGCAAAAGGCCAATGGTACTAACCCTACCCTTACCAAGGAAGGTTAGTGCAATCAGTCTCTCCCACCAGATTTGAAGGTCAACCTTCAAACAATACCAGAGGCAGATATGAGATAGATTCCAAGGTACTATGGAAATTCTTGAAGGATTCCTGACATGATTCTGAAAGTGAACTAACATGTGGAACTGAGAGTTCTTTTGGGGAGACAGTCAAAGGATTGCATCCAGATTTTGATACAGGAAACTGGGCTGGTACATGGAGCCTTCTCCATCCCTCCTCTTCCCAGGCTCCAGAGAAGGCTACATGGATGCTGAGAACTCAGGCTGAATGGGATGAATTGTCATGCATGTTGGGAGCTGGGTTCCCCAATTTGCAGATAGGTGTATCTGTCTTCCTGCATTCACTTTTGCTTTAAATCTCAAGTTCTTTCTCTCTTGAAAATGAAGGACCTTGAGAGCTGCGGCAAATTCTTATAAAAATGAGCTGAAACAAAATTCTCACTCATCTATGTCAGCCAAATTCAGAAGGTACACTTATTCCCAGCATGGAGAAGATCATGTTGTGTGTGCCTGCCATAACACACTCAACCATGTGGAGCCTGTCTGGGGGGCAGGGGGAATAAAAAGAGGTGGAAATCCTGAGTAGGTGCTAGCAAGGTTGAATACGCATGGAGCGGAACCCAGATTTCAAACAGAAGACTCAAAGCCCTGCCTGGGTGCACAAGTCTGTCAGTTTCAGTTTCTCCCACATCTAAATTGATTTCATCCCAGGGTTTGTTTGTTTGGTTTTTGTTTTTTTTTTCATTCCAAATAGGAAGGACTTTGCAACTTGTGGTAAATTCTATCCAAAAGAAACCTGGAATGCTATTCTCATGGAAATTGACCAGAGGCACTTTCTGTGAGTTGAAAGTAGACTGGGATCTAACCCCTGATATATCAGTGTGGGAAGGCGTTTGATCACGCTGGCAGCAAATGGGTGGGAGTTGATGAGCAGCACTTTGGTAAAATATCTGGTTGCCAGAAATGATGTTCTCACATGCATCAGAAACGTTGAAGCTACAATGTAAGGCAACCAGAAGGAACAGAACGGCTGCGGGAGGGAGGGTTGGATCATCTCTATTTTCAGTAATATGCCCCTCCATCAAGACATACCCTGTGGTAAGATGTGTGGAGCTTTCCCCATAGGAGAAAAGTATCCACTCCACTAATAGCCATTGCAGTGGAAGTACAGAGTACAGGACAAAGACAAGTGAGACCAGGATGGGTATTTGTTGCATATGCCTCATAGACATATATTTGATGGTGGTTTGATTTGTAGGACTTGACAGTTTATCTCCATTCCATGAAAAGTTTCAGCTTGAGATTGGCAAGTTAAGTTGCTGCTAAAGACATGAGATTACCTCCACCCCTCACCCCAGTCAACTGGAAACTGTGAAATTCCTTTTCATTATTCCGCTATATGATATTAAAGTAACTTAAATTCTAGTATGTCTTTTATGTGGCCATCATGTCTTAAAGTAGCTCCTTTATCCCAGAAGACCTTTTCTCAAGATTCCTGTCACCCATCCAAAAAATGGATGGGTGACAAGAATTTTCCATGGATCAATAGCCTCAAAATGGACATCACTGCAGTCCGCAACCATTGAAGAATGGAGAAATAGATTAGCAGAATATGCAGTGATGGCAAAGCTATATATAATTTATATAATTAAATATAAGACCGCTAGATGAATTTATTGAAAAATGGAAATTTTATTGTGCTTAGCATGTTTAATAGAAATTCAGGGAGTTTGGCAGGGAGAAAGAAAAACATTAGAATTTGAACTGGTTAGAAAACCTGTTGATGTACAGAATAATGATTCTGTTTTGCAAACTCTCATAGAGCGTGGGAAGATACAAAGAGAGTTGGTTCTGGGGACTGCAGTATATGGGCTGTGTTTGTGTGTAATTCCCTTGGCACCTTTGTTTATTTTGTTCACTTTAGCCTGTTCTGTTTATGTTAGTTTCTCTTTTGTTATGTTTTTTTACTATGTAATTGTATATGTTGGGAAAATAAAAATTACAAAAACTTAGAAGAATTTCCTATGGATGATTGATGGGAAATGGTTGAGAGCCAGTGATGTGCAGTGGTTAAGAATGAAGGACTGACACTCAGGAGATGTGGGTTCTAGTCCCCATTGGACCATGGTGCCTCCTCTCAATCTGCTTTGGATTCTGTTTTTTAGCACTCACAAACTGTGCATCATAAAAGGGAATGTCTTGTGAAGAATGGCTGTCAGAAAATGCCTGTCAGGGGTGCATCTTTCCCCAGCACCATGGCCAGAAAAGCTTTGCTATTTCTCCATAACTGAAATGGGAGAACCATGACCTTGTTCTTCCTTGCTTCCTACCATAGGGAATCGCCAATGGCTTAACCAGCTATTTTTGCTTGATTGCATGTAAGGAAAAGAGCACTGGGTTCATTCCAGACTTAAAGCATACTTAGAGTAGATCTACTGAATCAGTGAGACTGAAGTCACTCACAGCTAACTTAAATCCCATTGATTTCAATAGTCCACATATGACTAAATCTGGCTCCAATTCAGTGATATTCTGTAAAATCTGAAAATGAAGTTAGAACCACCTCTTTTGACTCTCAGAACAGAGGGAGGGTTTATTATTGCTGTCAGTCACGCTGCCCTCTGTTTCACTGCCGTGTTTGAGCCAGAAGTAGCAGAAAGTTGGAACATATAATTGTCTTTGTCAACCCATTAAGCAGTTGAGAGTCACACAAAAATGGGAAGCTCAAAGGCACCATTTTTTTTCTAAAAATAGAAAAAGAGTCACATTGAGATCCAAGTGAATTATACTTCAAAAGGCAGAATGACATGATGGAAATGCAAAATGTCATCTAGGTCTAAGACAACAAGGGAAACTATGAGAAATTGAGCAATCCACTAGAGATTGTCAATGACTTAATCTTTCCTTAAATGATGAAATCGTTAAGTAGCCAGGAGGGATTTATTTCAATGGCCCTGCTCTAATCCATCCTGTACCAACCCAAGTCTCCTTCCAAAAGACTGAATTCAAAGCTTTTGGATTTCAAAGGATGGATGACAGAGCAGCTTGAATCACAAGGGGTAAGTACAACTTGAACATGGTCACAGAGTTCTGATTAGCTGTAGGTAGGAAACAGAGCTATTGTTGCTCTACTAAATTTGCTGAATAAATTTTGCACAATTATCATGCACGTATTATGCATAGCTGCAGACATGTCCAATGAATTTAAATGAACCTCTGCAGCATATGACTAAATCAGAATCTAACCCATTATTCAGCCGAGTAAAGTATATATATGCTTTTCAGTTGAAAAAGAAGCAGCTACTGCTGGTGAGGTCCTGAGGAAACTGATGGATTTGGAAGCTTCCTAGAATCACTAAGTGCCTTTCAGTATATCACTCTGAGGTCTTAATCCAAAAGGGGGTTATAAACCAAATGTGAAACCATATTTCTAACACAGGCCAGAGGAAATAACTGCTAAGAGGTCAATTCAAATTGACAAGAGTCATGCAAACAGTCCAAATTCCTATGCAGCACTGAAGCTCTTTGGGTGACTTTTGGACAACCTCCATCTCTCAGGCATACCTACTTCACCAGAACTCTTCTTGGTGGAAAGGCAGGGTATTCAGTAAATATAAGATTGAGAGTAGCAGGAGGAGAATGATGTAAGCCTCTTGGATTTCTTTCACAGTAAAAGGCAGGGTATACCTCAAATAAATAAATAAATAAACTAAATAGCAAGTGAAATTTGTCCATGCAGCTGCTTCAATTCAAGGTCAAACCTCAGGTTCCTTAGCTTCTAGGAACAGCGGCTATAACAGGAGTGTGATCCTCAGTACAGTCTTGCTTCACTAGGCCGCATTTTGGCAGGAGCGTTCTGATCCTGAATAAGCATGCGAGTAGGCGAAGCCTGCTAGCTCTGCTCCTTCCATCATTCCCCCCCCCCCCCCAAATTCAAGGAGGGCAAATTTCCACAGAGGAAAGACTCCTGAAACAATCTACGTGATCCAAACACTGATTTCTTCAGGGTAGAGGGCGTTGGTCATGAAGACTGAAGAGGCGTTCCTTCTCCTTGCATGTTAATGCCATACCTTAACTCAGTGCTGTATCCTCTGTGCTGGTTACCAGTTGAAGTCCAGGTCTGCTTTTAAGGTGCTTAGACTAACATACAAAGCCCTAAATCGTTGTAAGCCGCCCCGAGGCTTCGGCGAATGGGGCGGCATAAAAATGTCCTAATAATAAATAAATAAATAAATAAATAAAAATGGCTTAGGGCCTGGATATCTAAAGAAGTGGCTTCTCCCTTATACACCTATCCAAACCCTTAGATCATCTTCGGAGGTCCTTCTCCCTGAGCCACCCTTGAAGGAAGTCATGAGGGTGGCTACAAGGGGAAGTGCCTTCTCAGCTGGGGTGGCCCATCTGTGGAATCAGCTCTCCAGGGAGATATGCCTGACACCAATGCTATATGTGATTCAGTGCCAGATTAAATTTTCTTATTTTCTTGCCTTTTTAATTGCTGATATTTTTACATTGGCTTTTAATTGTTCTGTCACAGGTGGATTGACTATTATTATGCATTGTATTCTATTACTTTGTTTATCATTGTTACATATGCCCGTCAAATTTTACTGCTGTAGGGATGTTTTATGGCAGGTGAGTCTGCTTTTAAGTCTGTTTTAAATCTGTTTAGAATTGTTGTTATTTGGAACACTTTAATTGCTTGCTGTAAACTGTTCTAACAGCGCTATGCTAATTCAAATGGTATCGACATACCATGAATGAATAAATAAAGAAAGAGAAAGAATCAGCACAAGGCTAGTGTCTAGCCTTTGCCCATGGCCTTAGCTAACCTTGCCTCACCTCATTGTGCTACTCCTTTGCCAAAACGTTGGCAGCTGAATTGGAAGGAGCTGGAGCTGACGCTACATCTTAGCCTCAACTTCTCATCTGTCAAAGTGGATCTGATGAGTTCTGCTGAAGAAAGAAGGGCTCAGGGCAGATGCACAACCTCATCTTAACATTTGCTGGATCCACAGAGCCAACATGAGGGCTTGACATCCTCAGACATCTGCTGAGGGCTCATTGCCCCAGGAAAGCTCTTCTTTCTGACCTATGATTACTGCTTCCTATCAATGCCTTTGCCATTTGCTCACTTGTCCATTCATTTGGGGGAAGAACCAGTGTTGCAGCATTGATTATTAACTGCTGCCACCATCATCTGCTTCCTCAGTGTTCCTCTTCCTCAGGGATGGAGCAATAAGGATTATGTCCACTAGGTCTTCTGGAAGAAGGCAGAGGAATGCTCAGCAGTAGCTGCTACCCCCTGCTACTTTCAGCATGCAGCCACTGTTCCTTAGGTTGCAGGTGAGGAAGAGGCAGAGCCAGTTCCAAGGAGGCTGGGCCACTGGTGTTGATTTGCTGAAGACCCCAACCCCCAACCTGAAGCTTGCCTTGCAATAATTTCAGATCAGAATTTAGAAGATGGTGTTTCACTGATTAGGAGAAGAAAGACAGGGCATTATGGATGAAACAGATAGGGTGGACCAGAACTTTCAGCTTTGGGAAGGGGTCTTAACGTGCTACATAAATCAGCAATAAAAAGGCAACATTTGTGATTTAGTGGTCGCTGATGCAGTCTGGTTGGAAATTGCACTAGAGTCACTGTGTCATAGGGCATTCTTTTTGTTTTCAGAGTAACCATGTTGGCTGTGAGGAAGGGAAAACTGTTTATACCATTATACTCACCCTGTCTCCCTCTCCAATAATGGAAAGTCCTCACCCTGAACAATTTTTTGAGCATTTAGCAGATGGGAAAGTAAGAGAAAGGCAATAACAAAATTATTAGGCTTGTGCATGAATTCAGTATATGCAGCCAGGTAAGCTGCCTTTTCAAGAGTCCTCAGTCATGTGTACAAGAGCCGGTGTGCCATTGGTTTGTACACATGCAGAGTCTTTCAGTGTGTATGCTGAATACATATAAAAGCTGGGGCAGAGCTAATGGCCATATTTCCAGCCTAACTTCTATGTACATTCATTGTACTGTGCAAACAGTCCAAATGGACTTCCTTCATCAGACTTTTAAGTAGCGGAACCAGAAGCAGCAATAAACAGACATCTGGTCGGGTAGAGCACCTTTTCAACCCTATTCTATGTGCAGTTGCATAGATTTAAGCCCTATGGAGTTCAAAGAGCCTGACTTCCTAGTACATTTATATTACCATTTTAATTAGGTACTAAGAATGTCATATAACAAGTATACAACCAAAAAGGCTTTTGATATAACAACAATGAATTCCAAGGGGTTGCTACAATACTCCTGAAACAAACAAGATCATTGATTATAGGAAATCAATGTTGGGAAAGTTTGAATCCCAAAACTATTTGTGGGCTAGTTAGGAATAGTGAGCTAGGAAGTTACTGCAGGGCCATACTGAATCCCTGAAATGCCATCCAGCCAAAGTTCAGGATCCTCCCATTTAGTCTCCCTTTTAAAGACTGGTTTTGGCATGGTACAGACTAGTGAAAGGAATCCTATACAGGTTTACATAGGAGAATCAAGGAGTTATTCCCTACTAAGAGTATTTTAAATTGTCAGCACTCTGAAATTCAGTTGATCCCATACATGCCCTTATCACTGGGTGGCATCCATCACATCTATGTGAGGATGAAAGAATATGTATTATTATTTAATACATTTTATTTCCTGTCTGTTTTCCTGCAAGGAACCCAAGACAGCTTAGATGGTCCTCCTCTTCTTTACTATACAACAATCCTGGAAAGTAGGTTATGCTGAGAGTCAGTGATGGTCCCAAGTCACCCAGTGAGGTTCATAGCTGAGCTGGGGCAGAACTCAGATCTTGATCCAGCAGTCAAGTCACTAAGCCAAACAAATCCTGGGGGAAACCCATCCCTGAATTTTTGAGTAACCAAAATGTTTTCAATTAACCAAATGCAAGTGGGATTTCTTCCATGGATTCATAGGTTGATGGGGGAGCACCAACTCAGGGCTGTTATTTCAGGGCCAGCCAGCTTCCTTCTGGTGAATTTTGTGAAGTTAAATAAAGTTGTACCCTATCTATCTATCTATCTATCTATCTATCTATCTATCTATGCCCACCTTTCGTCCTCTCTCTCCATTCCTAGTTCTCTCTCCAAGTAGGCCAAGACATTAAGCTAGGAAACTGTGCTTACAGAGTTTAGTCTGCTACATTAAAAGGCCTGAAGGTGAATTGATGTCTGAAAGAATCACATAATTCATCAGCTTCAGAGGGATTCATTCCTATTTGCCATGTGAAGATTTAGGGGCAGGTTCTGGCTAGGATAGTCCTGTGAGATTGAGATATACCAAGAGGCTTTTTCTCTTGATGATAACATGCAGCTCAGAACATCTATTTGGTATACATCAATGAACAGCCGGGATGGGACAGGGTTGCCAGACTGGACTGGAAATATGCCATGCATCTCTGGATGGAGAGGTAGGCTATGGCTTTATTTGTCTGTTTCCCCACAGATACTTTGCCTATTGCACCCTTGCCTGTAATGCGATCTGCATGCTACTTTGGGGAGGGCAGTCCTTTATTTGAAAGCATACCATTTTTGAAGGACTGCCTAGTCCAGGTTCAAGGTCATGCTAGAGAATCCTAGGAAGAGACAGCAGGGCCTTGAAAATGCCCATCACTCCCTAGTACCTAGACAGTAGACTTTGCAGGTACACAGCTCACCTCCTGTCAGTCTTCCCCACCATGGTGAGCTGCACCACATTCCTGTTTATATTACACTACTTCTTGTGACAGCTATGTAAATCTCAGTCCATTTTTTGTCCTTTATTTTGGTGAATTTCCTCTTTCTTGGCCAAGTGTAAGTGGACAGCTAGCAACTTGCCTGGATGCCTAGCTGCTACAGATCCCTAGCTGCTTCCTTTGCCATTGAAGCTAAGAGAAGGGAATCTTAAGCTTTTCATGTAGCTCACCTGACCTATGGCCTACAGGTGCAGAAAGGCTTCCTTGGCTGGTCATCTGCACTTCTCTCCTGCAGTTGTAGAACAGAGAGGTGGCCTGAAACCCTCAAGTACAATGAGGGCTTGGACATGTGAGGGACCACAACTAACTCAAGGGGGAATCTGAAGCTTCAGAGAATCTCTGGGTGGCAAACTTGCACTCCTACAGAATGTACGAACATATGGGCAATATGACCTGGTGTCTTCACTGTCAGCAATGCTATCCCATGTGATGTCTGCACAGCCTAAATCAAAATACCCTATACCTATATACATTTTAATGTGATGCTCCTCAGCTGACATGGTGATGACTTGAAAACAAGTTTCCTCCAGTGGTCCATTTCTCTGTCTGGAGTGCAATGTTGCACCTGTTATGTAGGTCCAGAGTTTTGAATGCTATGCTAAATATGCACTGCTCTCAAACCTCTATTCTCTGTCACTATGAGAATCAAGGTTGGGATGTAGATTCCTCAAGGCTTGAACCTCAGGATTCAGATACTCCCTACAGTGTGGCAAGTGATAAAAAGGGCATCCAGTTCCCATTTGACTTGCCTGCCTATAAGCGCTCGTTTGTAAGGAAGAACTGATTGACACAGGGCACCTGGTAATTGATCCATGGAAGCTAGAGCAGGGCTGTTCATACCATGCAGCTTCTCTTTGGAGCTCGAGAGGAGCTATCCATGGTGCTGAATGGCGGAGAACCTGTTTGAGAGTTGGCATCCACCATCATGGAGCAGCATGGATAGCTCCTCTCAAGCTCAAGAGAGAAGCTGCAATGGACCAGGAGCTCCCAGACACAGGTTGCAATCCAAGCCAAATGCCAGAACTTTGAAGCCCCACTGATTTAAGAGGGGAAGAATGTAGCACATTCTTCAAAGTGTGACTGAAACTGGCTCCACTGGGAGGTAAGGCTTATATGTTTCTAATGCAGTGCTAAGCAACAACAGAGAGGTAAACATGAACATCCAGCCCTTCCCTCACCCCCTCTGTGCCCCTTTCCTATGGGATCAGTTGAGCTGGTTGGATTGCTGTTTTTTCCCTTCCAAACATTTACACTCTCATGTAGATATTTATCGCTGAAGGGTTTCGTTTTTCTCTCTCCCACTAAGTGAACATGCACCCAAATAGCCACTGTTATATCAGAAGAACGGACACTCTCCCAGGATGTTCTTCAGTTCATTGGCATGCTAGAGCTTTTGTGCAACTCCCCTTCTTGCTAGGCCTCCCCCGGACAGGCTTTGTGTAGGAGGTGTTCTTTGGGATGGGGACTGGGCTCAAAGAAAATGGGATTCAAAGCCCTTCTGCATGAGACTGGACAGTAGGGAGTGCCGCCTCAAGTTCATCTCCTCAACTGGCCTAGTTACCCTTTCCTACCTCCAAGTGGCAGAAAAGTTCTTGTCCTTGATGTACAGATGTCAGAGGTGCAGCAACGCCCTGCTCCCATGTCCTCTAGACTTCTGGATTTCATACTAGAGCATAAAGTGCTGTGGCATCGATTTTTACATATATAGAAAACTTGGAACGCCCATTTTTTCTCTCCCCAGTTTTACCTCGTGGCTCCTATGTTCTTGTAATTGCACATAAGGAGATGTTTAAAGGTTTTCTTGAACGTAGCATTGCAGAGCGCATAGCAGGCAGGGTTGATCGTGCTGTTGATATAGCATAGCCAGTAACCGATTGTCCATACTGTGTTGGGGATGCAGGATGCACAGAAGCTGTTGATGAGTACCATGACATTGTATGGTGTCCAGGTAATGATGAAGGCCAGTAAAATGGCCAGAATAGTCCTGGTCACTTTTTTCTCTCTGGATGGAGGTGTCTTCTTTTTTGCAGGCTGCTTAGTCATCTTGACAATCTTACGTGCTACAACATTTTGCTTCTCGTCTCCATTTTGCCCATCAGTGCCTACAATCTCCACAGTGGTGTTGGTGGTGTTACTGCAGTCACCTTTAGGAGATGTGGTGAGTATCCTAATGCATGTCAATTTGGAGTTCTCCACTTTGGCATTGACTTGGGAGACAGAAGCCCTGATGTCCTCTTTGATGGCTTCATCCTCTTTCACATTGGAAGCTACAACACTAACTGAGGTGGAGTCATTGGAACTTTCTTTTTCCTCTGCAGTAACACAATTTTCTATCACTGATTCTCCTGTGGCTTTACCATTCTGGATTTTACTGTGATCTATCCCATCTTCATTGGTTGGGATGTTGTTATTGTTTGGCTTCACTATTTTACCTTGGACCAAACTTGGAGAAACTGGATCCTGGTTTTGGCCACCCTCTTTTTTGTCTTTTTTAATCCTGCTCTTACTGGCCCGAGAGATTTGCCAGTAGAGAATAGTCATGATGATAACGGGCAGGTAGAAAGCTGCAATGGCAGTGCCAAAGGTGACAGCTGCATTGGACAGGAACTGAATGTAGCATTCTCCATCGGGGACAGTCCTTTCCCCCACAATGAACTGCCAGAAGAGAATTGCAGGGGCCCACAAGATGAAAGACAGCACCCAGGCAGCTGCGATCATCATACCTGCCATTTTAGTGGTCCGCTTGACAGGATAGGACAGGGGCTTGGTGACACAAAAATATCGGTCAAAACTGATAATGAGGAGGTTCATGACAGAGGCGTTGCTGACCACATAGTCAAGAGCCAGCCACAAGTCACAAACCACAGGTCCTAATGGCCAGTAGCCAATCACAGTGTAAAGTGTATACAGGTTCATGGAAAAGACACCAATGATCAAGTCAGCACATGCCAAGCTGAACAGGAAATAATTGTTAACTGTCTGAAGGTGCCTGTTGACTTTGATGGACACCATAACAAGAATGTTCCCAATGATGGTCACTAAGCTGAGGGACCCAGCCACCAGGACAATGAAGACAACCTCAACTGTTTTATAAGGACTCGCCAAGGCCATTACATTCTCCAAATTGCTTATGTTTGTTGAGTTATTCATTTCTGTGTCTAGTAAACTGATGAATCAATGTCACTTAAGCCTGCAGAGGAAAGAGAAAGAAAACAGAAATGGTGAGGCATTCATTTTATCCATTTTGCCAAATGAAGACAAGACTAGAGGCGGACAAAAATCCAGAGGAAACTAAGAAGACCCAAGCACCATCAATCAACGCCTAAATGCTGAATTTTCCACTTATTATCATGAGGGCTTTGATGTACCTAATTTTCCAGTGGAGTATGCTTCAGGATGCTAAATATGAACACATGGTTAGATATGATTTATCATGAAAAAAGCATGCATGTATAATTCAAAACAAAAAAAACACTTGGAGGTTGATGTGGTCTTCTTGATAGAAGGAAGGCAGGAAGGCAGGAAGGCAGGAAGGCAGGAAGGAAGGAAGGAGCTGCTGTCCCAAGGCCTAAGCTAAAGCCACCTTCTGAATGCAACAGGACACACTCTGTCTATACAAAACCCTGAGAGAGATTGTGAAGCATTTTCTGCTCAGCAACTGCACATTTTCACTGAAATTCCAAACAGTCCAGAATCCTGTCCACTCTCTGCTGGTGTTACTAAAATGGTTTAATGATCCTAATGCTCATGTACACAAAGGGAAATTTGGATCCTTCCTATTCTACTGCAAAATATAACCAACCACAACATCCAAAACTATATAGATTCATGATTTGGCAGTGGAAAAGTCCAAATAAAGGACTCCTTAAAGTGAATTGGCCTATTTAGAAGATGGTTTGTAGCCATGTCCATCTATTAGAGAAGTAACAGAACAAAATCAAAACATCAGTATGATCATACAGCTACTGAAGCTAAATGGTGGGTGGTCCAGGACAGAAAAAAGGAAATGCCTCTTTACAGAGTAGATGGTTCACTGTGGAATTTGCTACCACAGGCTATAGTGATGGTTGGAAACCTGGATAACTTCAATAAGGTCTCAGACAGATTCAGGTGGGATAAGGCTACTAGAAATGATGGCTACATATGATCTCCAGTACTGGAGCCATGTGTCTGTGCAAACAGTGCTGGAGAGCATGAATTGTCCTCCTGCCCCCTTTGTGGGCTTCCAATTTAGGTATCTGATTGGCCACGGAATGCTGGACTAGATATGCTTTTGATACAACCCAGCTAAAATCTGTTCTGTTCCTATTATTCCCATATTTCCCAATTTTTGGTATGGAGAACCTGTGTTGTGTAGGACTAGGTTCTGGGAAATCTGTGTTCTCCACTTGACCATGGAGCTCATGGATGACTTTGGGCCAGTCATGTACTCTTAGTCTAACCTACCTCACAGGGTTGTTGTGATGATAAAAAGGAGGCGAAGGGAACCCTGTCATCTGCCTTGGGTTTCTTGTAAAAGGAAGAAAGACAGGGCATAAAGGTCATGTCATAATAATAAAAATTATTAGGACCCATAAAATGGTTGGCAAACTATGCATGACTTTTCTTCAGACTGGCAGGTAGTTTAAGCAAAAATAGCAAAAGAGAGGGGACACTTATTTTAAAGCATGGATGCAAAAAGGCCTAATGATATAATTGAAAAAAATATGAAAATGCAATTTCAGAATTAGATGAGAAATCAGTACGAATCTGAGTACAATTAATTTCTTTTGAGGCAAAATGGTCCCATTTGCTGTGTCTCATTCCCCCAGGAATATTTGTTTCTGTGCACATTTTTCAAAGTGCCGTTACCTGTGCTGCCCAACGAGCCATCAAGGAACTACTGAAAGAAAAATCAAAACACCAATAGGTCATTTATACACCAGTGATGAGTGAGCAGAGAGTTTTGCCCTTTGATTATATGACGACGAAGACTCTGCATTCATAAAACTTTGGCTTACAAGCTGCACTTGATAGCATTGGTATAATTATGACTATTTTTAAAAGGACAGTGACTTTCCACCTTTAAAAAGCTTCATAATGTCAATGTTCAAAGCTGTTCTTTCCTAATTGAAACCTGTGGCAATGGATAAAGATTTAAATTTGCACTTCTGCTTGTTGTGCATACGTTAAAAACAGAGAACCTCCACTATACACATGTAGCGTTCCAGTAATGGGAAGCCAAAAATCCTTCTGACTAGAATATTTCATGAAACAGCCATTAAGGCCCACTTTCTTTATGGTCTGATTTCCTCCCACTTTGGCTCCCATTCCTGATGGGTACATGCCAAAAGCAAAGGGAAAACTTATTCATCTTAGTGTAAGTGCAGCGAATGGGCTTCACTGTGTAGACTACAGGAGTGACAGAATCGCCTTCTGCTTCTAAGCTGATGGAGTGTAGATTCCAACTTTCACCACACGAATCAGGCACTTTCACCACCTCGTTTTTGAGAAATGGGCAAGAAAGGCAGAGGGAGGAAAGGATAAGCATCTATAAATCTCATGGAAGTAGGAGAAATCTCTTTGTTGATTAGGAAAAGTACAGGGGATAAAATGGGTATCAAGACACTGAAAATTGCAATGCGGGATTAGAAACAGAAAGGGGCCCTCAAGGGAATTTTAAGCAGGAGATGATGGGTGTGTGCAGTAACAAAGGATCTATGAACAGTAACTTTTGGCGTCTTATTTCAAAACATAGCCCATGATCCACTGGTGGTCAGGGTGGAAGGAAGGTAGGCAAACCTGAAAATGAATGTATAAATAAGGCAGAATTTCTGTAAAAGAAAAATAAAAAATTTGGACTGTTTGTCCTATTTCTTTAAAATAAGGGCTGTGACAGCATAAACTGCATTTTCGGGGGGGGGGGGTACTCCTGTTTTATCAGGGAGCAGGGGTAGGGCAATGTGACCCCCCCCCTTCTGGAGCTTGCCTGTTGTTGTTAGACTTTAACTCGTGTCTGACCCATTGCGACCCCATGGACAACATTCCTCCAGGCCTTCCTGTCCTCCACCACCCCCCAGAGTCCACTTAAGCTCACACCAACTGCTTCAGTGACTCCATCCAGCCACCTCATCCTCTGCCACCCCCTTCTTCTTTTGCCATCTATTGTTCCCTGCATTAGGCTCTTCTCCAGGGAGTCCTTCCTTCTCATTAGGTGGCCAAAGTATTTGAGTTTCATCTTCAGTATCTGGGAGCTTGCCTACCCCTATCTTATTCATAGGATCATAGAATGGTAGAGTTGGAAGGGCCAGAAGGCCATCGCGTCCAACCACCTGCTATTGCAGGACACCAGTTTACACCATCCCACTCAGATTAATGTCCAGTTGGTTTTTGAATGTCTATAGTGAGGGTGAGCCCACAACCTCCCCTAGAAACAGGTTCCATTGCTGTACTGCACTGACAGTGAGGATATCCTGGTGTCTAGTCCAAATCTGCTTTCTTTTCACTCCAGTCCATTATTCAGTGTCCTGCTGTTTGGGATGAATGAGAAGAGCTATTGTCTTTCCTCTTTTTGACAGCCTTTTAGGTACTTATGGAGTGCTATCATATCACCTCTCAAGTCTTCTCTTCTTGAGGCTGAACATGCCCAGTTCTCTCAATCTTTCCTCATCGGGCTTTGCCTCCAGTCCCTGAATCATCCTTGTTGCTCTCCTCTGTAGCCCTTTCTAGCTTTTCTGTATCTTCATAAAACTGTGGTGCCCAGAACTGGATACAGCACTCTGGGTGAGGTCTCGCTAGTATTGAGTAGAGAAGAATTAGTACTTCACATGTTTTGAAAGTGGTCCTTCTGTTAATGCAGCCAAAAATATCATTTGCCCCTTTTGCAACTGCATCACTTTGTTGGCTCCTGTTTCTGATCTACAACAATCCCAAGATCCTTCTCATTTGCACCATTGTTGAGCCAATTGTTCCCCATCTTGTTGTGGTGCATCTGGTCTCTTGTTCCTAAATGGAGGACTTGGCATTTGTCCCTACTGAATTTCATTCTGTTGGTCTCTGCCTGGCATTCTAACCTATGGAAATCATCCTTATCTTATCTCTGTCTTCCAGGGTATTTGATATTCAATCCCATTGAATGAATGAATGAATGAATGAATGAATGAATGAATGAATCTGATGTCCCATCAGTACATGGATGGTCTGGGAATCTCCATTTGAGTTTTCTGCAATGCCCCATAGCAAAGCTGCTGAATTCCCCCCTTCCCTTTCCCAATTATTTCTGAGTAAGCATGGTTAGAATTGGGATCCTTGAATGTCAGCCAGAGTATATCTATTGAATGATCTGACTATGTCGTCCCATAATTACCCTTTTTGCTACTTCACATCCTTTCTAAGGATGGAGCAAGAATTTGTTCATTTCCCATTTTACTGAGAACCTACCTAATGTTGCACTTTGGAAACAATACCAGAATTCACTTATACTTCAAATTTCACATTTCAAATTGTGCAAAGAATGTGCATGTTAGGGAAAAAACAGCAGAACAACAAAAATTATAGCATCAATGATGCATGTTATTAGGGAAAAGCCCCTGCAAAAATGGGCATACCAAGTAATAATTGCATTAAAAATGGGAGTTTTAGGGCAACAATGCCCCCTCCCCCAAATGTTTATTAATTTCCATTTGAAATTATCTAAAATCAAATCTCAAACAGATGTGAGAAATGAATATCTGAATTTAAGGTGGAAAAATGGGGACTGACCAATTTGGGTGTCCTTATTCCTCCCTTCCCCTCTCCCTTTCCTGGCTTCCCTGCACAAGGATTCCTGACATAACCCTGTCATTTTCCAGCTTATGCTTCCATCTACCAACACTTCTGTTTCTTATGAGCACAACAAATACACTTTTGGCTTAAAGTGGCAAATGATGATTCACAGCTGTATAACATTAGCTGAACAAATATATACTATGCCTCTGTTGAGAACAGAAACAAGGCAAAATAGAAGTATTCTCCTAAGAGCTGCAGAAGCCTGTGCATTAATGCATGGTAGTTGCTTGCCTTGGTATTACCTGCTTCTTTCTGGCGATGGGGCTTGGGGAATTGTGCGGCACTTAATTACAGCTTGCTCGCTGCTGTTCTAATTGTCTGTAACTGGTTAATATGATGACTTAAGCATAAATCACTGTAGATCAATCTGCCAGCAGCAGTCAT